AGGAATATTTACAAACAGCAACTGAAAGATGTTTGGGTATGTGTTGCAAATGATATCCCCTAAACTTTGTAAGTATAAAGAAGCTTTCCTTACCTTAAAAAATCATTTTGGATGTTGTGGAATTTAAAACGAGCAAGCAATAAAATTGGCCAAAGTCTAGACATACAGTAACAAAGGTTAAAAAGAGGAAATTCATAATAATGATTATGAATTAAAGTTCTAAAATACTGATAGTGCAAAGGGAAGATAAATACATATTAGAAAATGAATGGCTAGCAACATTAGCAGAATTCATAAGAATTTCTACAAGTGTATGTGGAGGAAAAGGAATCCTAATAATGATTCATTCCTTGGAAGATGAGAAATTCAATAGCAACGATGCATGGTAAGAAATGTTTAATGAATATTTTTGTCCTATATTTACATAGACACAGAACAATGCATTCACGTTTGGCAAAAACAGGGAAATACAGCCTATACCAGCAATAAGAGAGCTCTTGAAAACCCTGTCAAGACAAGCTGTTGTCATCAGAGCATTCGGGTATCTTGCATGCAGGAGTTTTAGGAGCTGATTTAGAAGTTGTCTGGACTGCTGGGCTTAATTGTTGATATTTACTGGCATTCTGGCAAAGCTCCACTTAATATATAAAGAGGCCGTATAAGAAAAGAGAAAGTGGAACATCTTCAGTGATTACAGACCTATTACGGTAATTTCTATCCTAAGCAAATTAATGAAATGGCTGGTACATGAACTCAGGCAATAAATGACGAAGGAAAAGAGGTAGTGATATAATTCAACATACAGCTATTTTTTTTTTTCAATGAGATTGCAAGACCAAATAAAGATAATCACATTTATGCAGCTTACTTAAATTTCTCAGTAGTGTCTGTCTTAACACTGAACGGTACTGTTATTTAAAAATCTTATGTTTCAAAATCAATGCAACAAATTTAAACTGATTAAAATCTAGGTGATAGATCTCAATGTGTAACTGCTAATGAGAAGATGCTGAAAAGAAGGATAGGTTTCAAAATATTCCTAACCTAATGCTGTCCCATATTTGTATGATGACTTGAAAGAGTTTATAACCTCATGGGTGAAAAGGATGCAGAGGAAGGAAAGGTGAAGAACAGTGAACAACTAATAGATGTCATTTTCATAAAGCAGTAAGATTTTTAGAGAAGTCAGAGCAATTTGGCCAAACTCAGGGTATTTTGCCTATGAATAAAGCCATCATCAGGTCATTTTAAAGAAGGTGGTATATCATATATGAAAGACTCAGCAACGTTCAAGGTTTGGAGGTCATTGCTAGACAGATTCAGCTTGGCAATTAGAGAGCCCCAGGAAGCAGAGGAATCTTTCAGACTTGAAATTAAGATTAAACATAATCACAAATATATGTTTTAGTTAAATTAATACTTTATTTGGCTTCATAAATAAATTACAGATCTGTGTTGTGCAGTATGTCAATTACAATGACCAAAACAGGACGCTGCAATATGGATCATTAGAAGGAATTAAATTTCTTATTCATAGCGACCTTTACCAAGTCCAATGATGTATATGCATCAATTTTCCCTGTCTTCACCATGAAATACTGATGGTTTCATCCTTAGCAAGGTTAGGTAATGACCATACCTTTAAAACTGTGTATCAGAAGTTGTCAGTAATATTAGTTACAGCTTAAAAACCCCTTAATGAACACTTACAGGGTAAAAGTAGGATTTGTTATGCAGAGCAACAGCCAAAACTGAAAATAAACCTTAGATTCTAAAGTCTGTTTCTCAGTAGATGAATAATAGGTAACTGTAACAATATGTCAACAACGTAATGAAACTTCAACATATGTACACCTTGAATCTAATGTTAATTAGACACATTATCAGAAAGAGGGGGAAATAAACTGTAGACAGGTCCAGTGTTTGTAGTTAGCAAAGCACTTAAAACGAGTCCAATCCATCCTTAACCTGGCATTGTTCTGGCTGAGATCAGAAAAATATTTCATACCCTTCAGAAAGATATTAGTGCACTCACTAATAATGCACCACTGGCAGGTTTAAGATGGTGTGATTTCTACTATCTTTTGGATTATATGAAATAAAGGTATTTTTCAACCATGTTTACATCACCAGAAGTCAAAATCTAGACATACAGCAACTGATGGTCACCATGGACACACAGACAAGACCTTGAACTTGTATGTAGCCTTTTACGAGCTGAACCTGAGATGGGAAAAAACCAGTCCCATATGTATGGTGGGGCTTGGCCAGGGACAAAGGCAAGATTTAGGATGGTTGTCTTCCCATTGTTCTCTGGTCACCAGTTTTGAGGGAGCTGAATCCAATAACTGAGAAGCTCTCATGCAATTAGTAAGCATTTTCTCACATCCCTTCAAAGGTAACTGGAGAATCATGAATCTGACTTCCTGGCAGGTAATGCCTTCCCTTAGATTGCCTTGCCTTCTCTGCCCTTTCCTGACTTTCTGTGCTCAGCCCTACCCTGAGTGATTTATTCACTGCATCAGTGCTTTACATCTTCACGTTTTTAGGTTAACCCCATTTTTCTGTATTCTCATTTTGAGGCAACCGGGGGTCACTGTAAATAATTTTGGCCTGAGTAAATCATTAAGCCATTTCACTTTAAATATTGAATTTACTATAATTAGCAATACCAGCTCTCTAGTATAAAATATGTTAAGTTAGAAATAAGTATTTTATTATTATAAGCTCCAGACTTTCATATTAGATAAATTATCATGAAATAATACAGTAACATGAGAGTTTTGTTCTGAAGGTAAAATATGTGTGGCATATAAAACCATCTTTGGTAATAAGATAAAATGCATCAATGCTGTTGTCCCCATATAACTCACCACAGCAATTATTTAATTGATTCAGAAGAGTATCTTCCTTCTTCATATGTAGAGATTTATGTGATAAAAGGGCACTGGAGTAATAAAAAGTGTATATTTCATTTGTGGTTATAAAACACTGCATGCCTGAAATAAGTATAGTGAGTAATACCAAATGGCATTTCAAAACTTAAACATACCGAGTCAAATATCTTGCAGAAAACAGTCCAACACACATGCCAACAAGAGTCTAGGGCAAAGGACTAGTAAGAACCAATTCCGTTTGATTATTTTCCAGCATGATTCATTCCTGAAGATAAATAAATGATCTAACAGATACAAACCGTCACCACGTAGAACAGATATGTTGCAATGAAGTTAAACACCCTGTCAACAACAGGGTACTAAAGCTACGCTTGCCAGTTCAGCTGTATCTCTTTGGAATATTTGGTTTTAAAAAAGAGACAAAATCAGAATTTGTCACTTTGTAGATTAGGAAGAATCTAAGAAAGAAACAAAAGTAGGAAATTCAGAAGCTCTCAGCATGGAGCCTTGTAGACATGCCCTGCAGATGTGTACGGGGGCTTTCACAGCCTGAAGGAGCCCTTGCTCCCTTTTTTTGTTTGCTGGTGAGCAAAGAAGTTCCACATTCAGTATACTCATACAATTTTGGGTCTTGTGATGTGTTTTTGCATAAAGCATGGTATTTTATGACAATGAACAGTTGTATCTCACTGTCAAACTCTGGTTCCAATACTGGTCAACATCACAGCTCCTCACTTTAGGCATCCGTGCCATTAAAACACGAATCCCTCAATGCTGTGTTACATGCTGGGGTTACTGTGAATGCAGGGCCACTCAGAGCTGCCTGCTAAGGCATGCTGAGATGTGGAGTCTCTCCTGATTCCTGGTCCCTTTGTGGGTATCAAGTATGTCCTAGCTCTTGTCCTAGCTCTGTGTCTCACAACCTGCTTGGATATTTTCTAAAAGATAGGTGCCTAGACATGAAGCTGCTTTTTTAAAAAATCTTTTTCGGTGAGAAGGTTTTCTCTTGGCTAGTAACTGCAGTATCAGAGCTCTCACCTGGGGACACTAAGGCTGGAACTGGAGACACCTGGTGCTAGTGCCTTCTCTGCCTGAAGGCATTCCCAGCAGACCAATCTGACCACAGAGCTACTGAGTGTTTAGAATTAAAAAAAAATCAAAAATCAACAAAACTCTCATCCCTTCCTGTTGAACTTCATAATGCATACTTAAAGATTTTTCAGGCTGCAGAAAAGAGCATGAGAAGCAGCCCAGCAGAACAGTCCCTTGCCGCGGGGAGGGAAGATGAGTACTCCAGGCACCAGCAGCTCCCTCTCCTTGGTTTCCCCCATGGCAGCAGCACCAACCACACCAAGTGGAAGCAGCTGACCCAGTCTTTCAAGGGTGTTGTAATGAACAGATTGAAGCCTTCGGGCAGTGTAAACTAATGTTTATCTACGTTTAGGGTCCAGATGGGGCTCAACTCAGGATAGGTGTTCAGCTGGTTAGTGCTGTCAAAATTAGATGTTTTTAAAACCTTCAGGCTTATGAGCTTTTAATCACTAATGACCTTTACAGACTGATTTGGTTTTTTTTTTTTTTTTTTTATTTTAAACTGTCCAAGTTCAGGATTTCTGGTTCCCGAGGTTCATTTCAGTAACTAAATCTTTTTGTGGAGATGGGCCTCAGTGACAAAAGGGCTATTTTGATTCAGGCTTCAAATTAATCCTGTGACTGTTCTTGAAGGACATTTGCAACTCAGATCACATCTAGAATAACCTAGCCTCACCTTTTTGGAGAACCTAAAGGAATTCTGATGATTAGGCTTCTTTATTTACAAAATTGTCTCAGTTCATAGACACATCTTTTCAGTACTGAATTTCTTGGTTTGTGGTATAGCTGTACTATTCAGCTTAAGTGCTATTAGTATGTTATTTATTTCACAGATGCATACACCCACATGTCACCACCTAATAAACTTTAGAACAGGTTCAGTTATAAGAAATGTATTCAAGGAATTTTTAAATTCACTCCTAGCCATCAGGGAAGCAAATATAATTCAGTTCATGCCTATCAGTACAAAGCAGCTTGACATCAGTTTTGTGCAGAACAAGATATGCTTACCATGAGCAGCCCTTTATAAGCGTAGACAATCCCAAGCCAAATTGTCATGTGAGTGTTTTCGCAGTGCTCCAAGATTGGTCGGATGGAGATATCTCTGCCCGCAGGGTCTGGCTGCAAAAATAAAAGGTGAAATACTTGGATTAAAATTTTGCTTGTATTCACACCTCAGAGGTACTTAAATCTATTCCCAGTAGATGCAGGATGTGTGGAATATAAAGTGGATAACTTTAAATTAAGTTGTGATGATCACACACCCATCAACCTGCAAAGAAACACAGTAAAAAGTAAAGATCTGAGGAAAAAAAATGTGTGATAGCTGCCACCAGGTGAGGTCACCTCTACTGCAAACCAGAAAGAAAATGTCCGAAGTTACTCAGTCATCAACAGTGTCAGTCACATTTATCAGCTTTAGGACATCTAATTTTTCTACAAGGCAAGCAGCTTGAATGCACAGGCATGAAAATAAACATGCTTGAAGTCATCCTTCTTTTCACTTGTGGTTCTTGTGTCACTGGCAAATAGCTAATAAACAATGTATGAAACACTGCGGTGTTTCAGGTGTTTTTTCACTGATAACCATGAGCTAAATGAAAGCCCATTTACTGTAGAAACTACAGCAGTAGCCTAGAAGAGAGTATTTATCATCAGAAATCAGGAAAAATCATCCTTTAGAACAAGTGAACGTCTACGCAAAATTTAATACTGCTGAAAGCTTTGTAGCTTTCCATTTATTTTGAAAAGGAGATTGTATAAAAGTGCAGAATTAAGAGAACTTGGAGACTATCAGGACTGTATGAAGGAGAAGTTATAACTTTTCTGAGTTTATAAGACTCAGAGATAGCCGCAAGAACCAACCCCCGCCCCTCTCACGTTGTGGTTTGCTTGTTTTTTAATAAGAAAAAACTTTTGACACAAAGAGCAGAAGGGGACTAGCTACTGTGCTGTCTACAATTACAATATTTATTAGGGTCTGGTCAAACTGCTTTTTAAAGGAGTACATTGTATAAGAACACAAGGTGCTTCTTCTGCATGATTCTAAAAGGTCCTGGTTTAGTTCGATAATGCAGAACACTCCCGCTGGCTAGTCTGAGCTGTGTGTGCCTCAGTCTGTTTTGCTTCACAGAAAGCTATTTTTCTCTTCTACTCTGAAACACTGGATTTGAACTTTAGCTAAACTAAGATCAACTCAGACATAACTCTGTACCTGGTTCTCTATTTTCAGTGAGTGAGATGTGCAAAATGTTACATACAGAAGTGTAATGATTATTGTATGACACAAGGAAAAAATCATGTTTTCAATAAACAGAACACAGAACGGTATTTGGAATGATATCTGAATAATTTCCTAGAGCTTATTCTTGCTGCCTCTTATGCTGGTATAAATTTTGCTGTGTATTTCAGTGATGACAACATTAATTCATAGCTCAGTTTATTCCATCTGTCTTCTTGTATGTGAGGCATTGCCCCTGATCTCATACACTGTAAAAAAATAATGTAACAAATAAGGAGGTAGACCCACCGGAGTGAAGGGGTGGGGTTGAGGGGTCAGAGGGAACAACCTCATGCAGGTTGTTTGCACAAAAAAAGAAAAAAATTGCACAGTCAAAGGATTCACAATTCCCTTTGCAAAGCCTGCAGTAAGCAAGACATTAACATTTAAAACTTTCTCCTATCCTGGACTTCTGTGGAAACCCTGAACAGGAGAATAATGAACGTTGAAAAGAGATGTCCTAAAATAAAATATCGTAAAACCCAAGCAGGCAATTTTAATTCTCCCAGAGAGCTTATGGTTCCACCCTAATGGCTGATGATGGCAAGCTAACAACAGCTAGCTGAAAACATTGAAATGGCTGCAAGCATAAAGTGGTATCATCTTGGAGATGTTACAAATGTTTGTCTGGGCACCAGTTGAACTACCTCATTCTCCCTCAGCAAGGACAAAAGCCCAGTGCTAAAATTTGGGTGCACTGGAGGGAAAGTACCCTTCATGTCAAAGTTGCAACCTGCTATGTTCAACATCATTTTTGACTCGTATGAAGTAAAGTTCACATGAAAAATCATTCAAATACAAATGTGTAACCTATGTGTGAACAGGACTGTGCTACAGAGACATTTTTCTGAAATTCTGAAGTACACCTGAGCATGATATAAAGATTTTTATTTTTCTGCCATTTGAGTTACAATATGCCAACAGTTGCATCCTGCATGGTCTGGAATCATGGAAGTCACATAAAATTTAAATTTGTGGTCATCAGACTGTCTTTTTTTCTTTCCTTCACACTGGGGAGTCAGCACAGGACTGTTTCTTCATTTCCCAAGCTCTTTGTTCTTTCCCCCATGTATTCCCTCTATTCCAGTTTCATATTTTTGTGAAACAAGGAACTTTACAAATAATGTAGACTTCCACTTAGTATGCTGGGCAATGGTATGTGTCTCATTTCCCTTACCCCTGGACTGAAACCTCCACTTACACTCAGACTGAAGGATTCCACCACTTTTAACCAACTATAACTGTAATTATTCCATATTTTGAAGAATATGATTGAAATAAGAACTCCTATTTGGTCAGTGGCAGATTGACAGATTTTATAAGGGAATGATAGTTTTTACATTAACTAAAATTAAGTAACTTAGCTAAATAGAACAGTGTATTCTGATTTTTCATCTGAGATGAGAAAATATTGTGAAGTGCTCTAGGGGGAGCAGGAAAGAAAGAATATAGATGCAGCATCAGCAGATGTGTACTTTTGGGGCAGCAGTGGGGCAGCACTTTAAAAGCACTTTACAGATCTCCAAGGTGCTCGTATTTTAAAGAGAAATTTGCTGAGGTCTTGTGCATGTGGAGTTAAGTGTTGGCAGGTAGCAGCAATTTTAGAGTGAACTGAATCTGCTGATTAGTTATTGCGACTGCAAAATGACATTCCTGTTTTACTGCTTTTAATTTACCATTCTGTTTCTTCACTGATTTTGCATGAATTAACTAATCATAGCAAAAAGCTAGGTTAAAAAAACATACGATATTCTCTGATGTCAAAAGAATTTTTAAAAACTCTACAATTACAGCTGCATGGAGCACTTCACTGACCTCTCTAATCATCCACCATTTGTGCACTTTGTTACTGCTTTAGAGAGGATGACAACATAAATGCTACCAGTGATTATATATGTACTGGAAATTTGCCCTTTCCTTTTATAGAAAACAGTCTAAATGCCCTTCAGATGTCATTCTCAAAAGCCTGGAGACCTCCTTTCTTGTGATTAGACTGAAGCTTTCCTTCCTCTTCTGAAACCTAATAAGGTTTCTGACATTGACATCGATTTATGGAGTGTTTTCAGCAGTTGAACATAAACAGCTTAACCTGTTCACTTTATACAAGAGCTGTGTATCATCACTAGTAAAATGCTTGTTTTACATGAGATCTGATATGTCTAGAAAGCAACCCAAACCAGTAAACAGATAAGTTACAGAGTGTTTGTATCCCCTCTCTTTGCACATTCAAATTATTATTAGTCAGTTCTGTAGTTTTGTTGCCTTTTCATTTTCACTGCTCTTCAGTCTGCTGGTGGGCTGGCAGATCCTTGTTGTAATAGATGAGCAATGGCTTAGGTGGGTACTGCCAGAGGGAGTGAAGCTTAAAAGCACCTGACCCAGAAGGGAAATTTGCAGGAGTGCAAGTGAATGAGCCAAAATCCCTTTGGAAGAGACCCTGCACAGTGCAGAGATATTGCATGATGATTAACACATCACTGACTTTGTGTCTTAATTGCCACCCCTTCTCTGTAGTTCCACATAGGTCTTAAAAGGATGAAAGGTCTATGTTCCATGAGGCATTTCATCTGGCAAATGTCTGGGAAGACCAGACTGGGCCACTGTACAGTATCCAAAAGACTTTGACCTTCTATGGTACTACTTCTATATGGTCACCTTTTCAGGTCGAACTGCTAGTGCAGCAGATGATCCTTGTTTGCAGAGTTGTGGTGCTGCTGTGTGACACAGCTCACAGGTGGACCATCTCAGCGTCCTTTCTAAGGGACTACGGATTTCCAGTCTGATATTTTGCCATTTCTGCAGCTGCAGTTTCATCACCGAGAAAATCAGAACACCAGGCCTCAATCTTTTCCAAAGATTGATATGAAACAAGGTAAACAGCTGCAGCTTCTGCTTACTAAGTTTAAAATAAAGTGTACAGTTCCTGTAATATAGGAAAATACAGGATCAAACTCCTCTGTCACACCATTAAAATGGTCTTTTTATACCATCCCACTCTCTGTTTTCTCTTCCCTTTAAATGGCTTCGATCTTACTGGCATAATGACTGTATACTATTACTAGTCTGGAGCATGAATTAGACATCGCTGGCATTTTTAATTTGGCACATTTAACAGTCATATGGAGCTCAAATGTGAACCTTATCTGCAAACTCAGACTTTGCTAAATTAGAAGATCATCCTTACTTCTTTTTAAATTGGTTTTTTTTTTTTTTTTTTTTTGTTTTTCCTAGGATAATTATAGTTAGTTCATACTATAAATTCTGTAGGAAATTAAATTTATTTGTATGTTGCAACAAGCCTATCCATAACAAGCATATCCAGTAAGTTGCAACTGCATATCCATATGGAAAGGTGTTCCACAGAAAGATTTAAGCAGATTTTGCAATGCAGGGCGTTTCAGCGGGGCTCTCAATTGCTGAAGGAAAAAAAAAAAGAGAGAAGGATCAGAGGCTTCCTACTTTTCATTTTTTTTCAGTTTGAGGGTATTTTTAGAGAAAAACAACTGTGATATGGAAAAGAGATTTGCCAGGAAATGGATTCCTTTTGTTTCATTTAATTATTACTTCCTGTAGTTTTACCTTCCGTAAGTGCAAAATAGCAAATGTAATACTAATCAGGAGTAGATAATTTGAAATGTCTTCCAATTAAAAATTTGGTAGGCAACCTAGAATAAAAGCTTGCTTGCCTTTGTTCATATCTGAGCTTGGGTTCAGATCCATTATGAATCACATCGTATTTTGTCTAGTAGCTCAGCCGAGTACAAAACTGTCACTGGATTCTTGCTGTCCAGTGACCACTTTAATTTCTCTTCAAGATTAATTGAGAGGTTTAGCAATTTCT